TCCACACTAGTCCAGTTGCGGGGGATCAAAATCATGCGAATAGCGGGGTAAATTGGGATACACGATTCTATTGTTTTAAGTTGTTCATTTGGGTATACAGAACGCTCACAGAAAAGTCCTCATGAATCCCAAGGTAGATTTACACAGGCATGGACAAGTTGAAAATCAGGCCTCTGATTGGCTCTCTAGTGGCCCCTTAACGACCGCCATTTTTATGCTTTCATTATTGTGATTGGTTGGTGATTTATTGGTTATGTTGCTCCAGTTTGGTAATAATTCGTTATTTAAGTTTTGGAGATAATTCAATTGTACCCGAGGATCTTATTACCTACCATTGTTAATGTGTTATAGTGTTTTGATGTTTAAATGGAGCAATACATTCATGAAGTTGAGATTAGGGTGGTCGAACAGGCCCCTTAACCTACGTCACGAGGTCACGTGACACGTACTGAGGCTCATGGGAAATTTTCAACTTGTCCATACCTGTGTTAATCTACCTTGATGAATCCGAGTGTAAGGAGGGTGGTTTTTGTGGTTGTTGATAAAGGTTGAACTATGAGGGGTCCATTGACACATATTTATTTATACTATTTCAATTATTGGCTTCTCATACACATATATATGAACAGGTCTAAAGTTTGAGAGTGGGCTATGAGATGGGGAGAGGGGGGGGGGTTCGGGTCTGAGCCGAGTTTGGTGTACGCGTCCGGGGCGTGATAGTTGTGCGGGTCTGAGCCGCGGAGGTTAGGGCCTCAGCCCTGGTGCTTACGGGACGGGCCGATGAGTACGACTGGTTGGTCTTCTACAAATCTTGATCAAATACTGGTGCCCGGCCTATGCTCCGGCCACTATTTATAGTCGATCGCCGACTCCCCACCAGGCTGGTTTGCAGCTTTGAGATAGGGAACCGAGCGATCGAACTGCAACTAGCGGCCGAAGTCGGAATTGCGTCGAGCGGGCGCGTCAGCACGCCACGCGCACTGCTGAGTGCGAGTGCCGCGCCGCCACACGAGGTGTGCTAAACCCAGGGGAGAGGGGGGAAGGGTCAAATTGGGGTATTTTCGTGTTTTTCTTGATTTCAGTGGTTTAAATGTTGGCTTGAGCGCAAAAAAAGATTGTATTCAATTTGAACTATCATGAAATGCCCAACACTGAGTATACGTAACACTTCGGACCCCTTCGCCCCCCTCTCCTCCCCTCCAAAATACGTTATTTTTTACCCTAAAATCGGGATTTTTAGGGGCTCCCATCTGTAGTGGTGTTAATATTGGTTTGAATGCAGTAAAGCTCATATTCTACTATAAAGAACCTTAAAACTTGAACAAAAAGAGCTCTAAATACTCTTAGCTTTATTTGCATTACCGCCCCACTACCCCGGAATACCCTTACCACCTCGCCGACTACCCTCCCCCTTTCCCTCAATTGGACCATTTTCGGCATTTAACGGCTTGTCTGGAAAAAATGATTCTATACACTCAATATAAAATGTCCGAGTGGAGTTATTTATAAAAATGCGTAAGTCCCATGCATCCCCCCCCCCCATCCACCTTCCTCCCCATACTCCCACAAAAAATTATTTTTAACTCGTCCGATTTTACTCCTGGTAAGATGACAATGTGCAACTAGACAGAAGGTAGAAACTGATCCTTGTATTGTTCGACACGTCGAGTTTGAAGATGACCCCCGTTTCCATGTATCGCCCTCGCACCTTCTAGTTTCCCGGAAAAACTGATGTCCATCGGAAAACGGACTTTGCGCTTTAGCTGTATTTGCGGAAATTTTCCTTTGTTCAGTATGCTCAGACAAAATCGATCTCCTTAAAGTACCAATTTCTGCTGCTAGAACCGAATGTGACCTGACCATTTTTTCTTATCAATTTTTAATTTTCCGGAAAAGCCGATTTTCCCGGCTACAAGAGGCGAGCATTAGCCATTTTCGTTCCAAATGTAAGAGAACTGAAATTTCTGGCGGCCTTTAGCTTTATGTGTATTTTGAGCCGCTAAATCTGAATGAGATTGCCGTATTTTTCCCCATGACTCTCAAGTTTAGCTTCTGGCTAAAAACTTCTTCCAACTGCTCCAAGTCCCCTACATTTTTTTTAGAAACTAGAGGGATCCGCGGCCCAACCCCCTCGTAGATTCTGTCAAATTATGATGAGAACAAGTTCCTTAAGATGCTTAACCATTCAAATTATTCATTAACAATTCAGCTAATAACTTACCTTCAGTAATGGCATAATTTCCCATATTTAGTGATATAGGTATGTTTTCGCTTGATTTCCCTGCTAAAAATGACCATGTTGGTAACTTGTTGGGACCATGTTGTTACCAGCAGGGTCTAAACCGCCCATGTTGGTATCAAGATGATGTCAACATATGGTATCAACGTGACATAAACTTGGGGTAAAAGACCAACATGATACCAACATGCTAGCAATATGGCAAGTCCCAATATGATATAAACATGATTTAAAAAAAAAAATGTTGTTAACGACATGGCACAAATAAATATGATAACATGATGATATCAATTTGGACTTTCTTACCATCATGATGAAGAGTTGATGTAAAGTTGGTATCTGTTGGTCCCATCATGGGAACATACTGATATCATTGCACTGAAAAAAAAGTTCGGTGATTTTTACCGAACCCCTCGGTGTACGGTTGTTCGTTGGCACAAACCTAAGTATTGGGTTTTGTGAACCGAACGGCATTACGGCGTTTGGAACACACGACCAACCGATCTCGGTACGGTTTACCGAACTTTTAAGGTCACGGAAACCGATCATTCATCGGTTATTCGCACCGAATGTTGGCGCCGATTTTCATCGTATTTTTTCGCTATATTTGTCGCTATACAAGTCGGGCTTGCAAGACAGCAGGAGGAGGAAGCTCCGAGGCGGCTGATCGGCCAATCAGAGCTGATTAGGGATTTTCCCCTACTCTCCCCTTGAGCCATTTTAGACTTCAGCTCACGACGCGCCACTTACGCCGAGAACGCCTCCACGTCCATCGTGATTTCGTCGCCTCAGCTGTGTTTTCTCCTCCTGCTATCTCCATTGGGCTGTTCCAGTATTTCTAACTTTTTTACTAGCATATGAGAGAGCTGTCCCTTATATTTTCCTAAATTTCTTGTGATTTTCTCTTACCGCAATATGAAAAAAGACCCTGTACTTAATTTTCAAACAGATTTGTGCAATAAAAAAATACAATGTTTGTGGACATATACTGAAACATTATGGGCGAGATACATTCCTCTCACGGCAGACGAAATATTTTGACTATAAATCAATGTGTACGTAACGCTGAATAGTCTTGAACTGTATTATTTAAAATCAGCCCCTACTCTTTCAAAAGGAAAGAATGTAAAAAAGAACTATCTACCAAAATATTTTTCATGTATATAAGTAAAAACGTAGGCTACCTACCTTATAAAAAAAAGAAATTTCAAAGGTTGAATTGAATCACCTTAAATTTCGTTTTTTGAACTCCGTCCAAAATTAGAGTACTTGAAAACGCAATGTTGAACTAATTTTGAACTTACCAAGATAATGTTGAGGCAAAGTTAAGGGAAATTGGTTCAAATCGCGGGAAAATCGTATGACCTTTTGAACTGACGTTTTTGGGGGTCCAAAACCCCCCTTAAAATTAGTTTGAAGTGATTTCTATGATTTTAACTTAAAAATGCTTACAATTTGGAGAATTTCCCCGTTTTCTTTTTTTCTTCGCGATAATTGGAACCGGAGTTAGGAGTTTTTAAAAATAGATCAAATTTGACTTTTGACCTATCAAAACTCGATCAAAAATCAAGATACCTATTGATCTGCGATTTGGGCCATAATTCTTAGTTTTTATGTTCTTTCTAATGATGTTTTACAAGATAGGGACCACAATTTGAAAAAAAAAAAAGTTGGGGACCCCCCGCACCCCTGAGGGAGGGACAAAAACTTTGAACCCCTTGGAAAATGGTCCCCTTTGAGATAGAAACCTTCCCAAAGTTTCGTTTTTCTGTGTCTAACCGTTCCAAAGTTACGAAGGGGGGGGGGGTTGGGTTACGAATTCTTGGGACACCCTGTATATCAGAAAACTATTTATAGTCGGAATTGGACATTAAAATACCCGCAGAAATGAGTGAAAATCGGGGACTTTGACCCCCTGTATCTCGGAAACGCAACGGTTCGTATACTCAATCTGGAATTTTAGTATGTGCAAGGGTCATCCTAAGGATGAAAAATAACCTCACACGAACCCCGATTTCGTGGGCCCAAAAACGGACGAATTTTGGCTCTTTTTGTGCAAGGTTCTTTCATAAAATTTTATCTACGCAAATAAATTTTATGAAATTTTTCATTTCTACAGCCAATTTAGCTGACGACACTTCTGTCACAAAATGGCGAATGGTCAAAATTGTTAATGGTGGTTTTAGTCCAGGCGCCTGGTAAGTCTACCTGGAATTTTGGGTACACAGCGATTTTTTTGGCTTACTTTATGTTTTTTGGGTCGCTGAATCCGAATCTGAAGTTTCCGCAGGCGTATCTGGTGAGCATTTTCCGCTATTTTGAAAAAATGGCCTAAAAAGGCCTTTTTTTGCGGTTTTTTTGATATAGCGGCTACGGATGAGGAAAAGTCCCGGATTTAGCTAATGTTTTGAATAGCTGACATAATTTGGAAGAAAATGGTGTATACATATGTTAGGTTTGCTTAAAAATTGAGGAAGATACAGCATCGTGAACATCGCGCCTATTCACGTTTTCGCGGCGCACCCCTCAGCGCGGTCCGGCTCGCCGCGGTCCGCCAAGTTCTGAGGCGTTACACGCTTTAAACGGTTTTCGTTTCAATAGTTTTTCATTTCTAACACTCGTAAAACATATTATTGCTTTTTTCTTTATCAATGTACCCCATTATACCTTTTATTTGTTCCCAATATGTATCTATAGGTTACCATAAATAAAAACTGAGTTGTCCTTTATTTGTAAATTTGTTCTGAATGTAGTTCTCTGTTGTTCATTGAAGAAAGGTTGCCAAGAAAATGTTTCTGTAGTTACAGAAAAATGTACTTCATTTAAAGGAAAACATTTACGTATTGAAATTGTCTTTCGTGTCAAAGAAATTTTCTTTAATTCAAATCATTTTCTTACTCTAAAAAGAACATCACTTTATTATCGATAAGACATTAATTTTCTTTACCTAAATTGAACAATTTTTTTAACGGAAGAAGATTGTCGTCAAGTAAAAATAATTCGCTTTAGATCAAATAATTTTTCAAACTAAGACAACTTTTTCAGCAATTGTTTTCAGTGTTCGCTCAGAAAGATAAAGAAAGCAAAAGCAGTTACGGAAAAGAGCAATATTTTCTTTCAAAATTTGTGTAATTTTACACATACGAGGTGCATACACGAGATGCAAAGATGAGGGATATACACGAGTATACCTTTTTACGTACATACATTAATAATAGATCACAATACAATTATCTTGCATATCTCTTTCGCTTAATCGGTGTTGAAGTAGGTGGGGCTGCTGCGCTCCGTGTCTGTGACGTCCCGGGTTTTGGCCAGTCATCCGAAGTCTCAGAGATGTATGAACAATCCATAAAAGATGACTCTGGGGGAACATAAGAATAAGAGAGAGAAGTTGCAATGGGTTACAAGTGAACGAAAATAAGTCGTAGGTAGAAATTTTACTTTAATCTTTTATTCTTTGAAACGATTCTAGTGAAGGTAAGTGAATTTGATTTAAAAAAAATTGTTGGAGGAAATATTCTGCTCTTGGTTGCAGCACGGCTAGAAATATAAATTGGAGATGTAAGAAAGAGGGAAATCCCGCGCGAAAATAGTTAATTTACAAAGAAATCATCGGAAGTGTAGTAAGAGAGTTTAATAGTTTCAATGCTGATTATTCAGTGCTTCCTCTATGTGTCCATTTTCCTCTGCTCCTCCCCTCCCCTTGCATACCCCCTCTGTTCCTGTTCGTATGTGCTTAACTTCTCTCAATTCAACCATTTTAAAATACAATGCCGCAATTAACAAATGTTGATATTAAAATTCTGTGAAGCATGTAAAATTTTAACTTACCCATTGGCGCTCTGGCGTCCTCTTGATCGGGTTCGTTTTCAAAATCGCTCAGTTGCTCGGTTTCCTCAACTGACTGCTCCATCTCAACTTGAAGAGGTGCATCCTCATCGTCGGAATCAACATCGATCAATGAGCTTTCAGGGGCGTTATCGCAGGCATTGCAGCATTCAACACACATTGCTGAGCATTTCAGACCCGCTTTGCGGCAACCGCAGCGGCCATGACATCCTGTCTTGCATTTGCAAGTGATGAATTTCAAGAGTTTATCAGGGGCTGGAGGTTGCGTTGTCATCACAGGAGTTAACACAGTCTTAGTTTTTTTCCACCCCCATTCTTCTGGTTTTTTATGATTGCCGAGCCATCGTTGAATTTGAAGGTAGGTGCGAAAAGAGTGCTGCCTTGCTGCATCTTCTGTTGGAGGCAATGCTGCAATATTATGGGAGCTCCTATATGCAGTTCTTACGAAAAATTGGTGTCTAAACGAATTCAGAGTTACATTTTCATCACGGCAGCCATAAACGCGAATCAAAAAATTATTTCCTGCGTCTGCTATGGCCGTCGGTGCAGCATTAAGATCGTAAAAAATTCGCGTAGAGGCTTGCAAATTTGGATACGTTTGAAAAGTTTGGACAAATTTGCTTTTGCCGTGACCAAAAATGGCGCTGGTTGTGTCACAACCACTGAATGCATGTAGAAATAAAATACTTTCGGTGATAGATTTATCATTCAGACTATCCAATGAATACATCATTTGCGGCCTCTTCCCTTTGCCAGGTTTCATTAAGAAAACATTATTCGATTTGCACAAAGCAGTCATGAGGATCAGTAGGTCGACATCCTCTCCAACTATTATTACGAATGGATAATCCGGCGCTTTTTCTATGGCCGTTTGGACAATTAGTAGATCTGCGTCTTCTGTTGCTTGACGCACGTTCATTCCCGAATTTTCAAATTTACTCTTCAACATTTGAATTAAGCGCTCCTTGTTTTTACTATTACTTAAAAATGATGCTTGCGAAACAGTAGGGGTCATGTCCTCGTCGAAAATAAATTCCACCGAAGACTTTTTTCTTTCTCTTCTGGCCCTCTCAGCGACTTTAGTGCTGCAGGCACCAATGTTTTCCGGATACCCATCGAAAACAATGGTAGACTTATTTGAATAATTTTTCTGTACGAAACGTACATAATTTCCGCATATCCCCAAAAATGTTTCATTTTTGGGCCAGATGGCTCGATGTAAAAGGAAGCCCCCGTCAATTACGTGATGAGATCCCTGAAATTCATAATTACTGCCGTCAATCGGAGAGAACTCGTTGTAAAAATGTGATTTCGTACCTTTGTAAAATCCCTCTTCTGTAAATAGGGACAGGGGATACGGAGAAAGTTCGAATTTTAGAAACTCTTCGAGCTCCTCCTCAGATCTTTTAGCGATACACATTCTGCGATATAGAATCTGAGGGTCGATTGGAACTACATCATCATCGATTTTTATCCCATTTCTCATCGTTCCGAGCGGATTGCATCTGAATTTGCGTTGAAATTTCATCGATTGGAAGTCTAACTCCAAATCGACAATTTGCTTAAAACCCTTTAAACCTATTTCTTGAGCTAAGTGACAGTTTATCGAACTATTACCTACAATACCTGTACTTAATGACTTAATTTCAGGAACTTTAGGGAATGGTGGATGCTGGTCAAGCCACGTCAATATTTTTTGAACGTCCTTTTTGTCCCGGTCTATTCTTGAGCCCCTAAAATCCTTGTGTTGCTCTGAGGTCTCGTACGAGACATTGCAAAACTCTTCAACGGTATTACATACATTTTGAAGATATACTGTGCCTAAGATCCACGTTGAAAGCACATTTTCAGAAACACCCCTTCCACGGGTGACACCGCCTTGCGATTTCATTGACTTCATCAACGTTTGTTCTATGACCATGTCCGACCAGGTACCACACCAAAATTTGTTTGAACGGCGAATGGTGAACATTCCTTGTGATGTGAAGCACTCATATTCCCTGGGATTCATTTTGTTCTTAAGAGTGTACATTTGCTGCAGGTACAGTTGACATGATTTGAAGTACAAAAAATGGCCACTTGCATAAAAAAACGGCTGCATTTTCCTGATAATGCTTAAGTGTAACTGCCAATCGCCACTACGTTCCGCTACTATAAATTGCCTTACGAGCATTATCATTTTCGTGTATTGCACCCACAATTTTGCCGTAGGACCTCGCTGCTCTAATTCAACAAGTTTCTTTTTAAAGTCTTCGAGAAATTCATGGAGGGTGGGATTATTGCCGCTCGTTAATATTTTTTCATTGAATAAAATGAGAATTTCTTCTAATTCTGATTTTGCTTCATCTGAAAATTCCATTGAGTGCAAAATGATTTCAGTGAGAGCTTGATAGGTTAAAAAATGTGCTCTAAGAGCTCTTGAATACGCATGTCCCGTCATCATTTTTTCAACAGAATTTGGAGCATACACAGTACATAATAATTCTTTGAGGCCACTCCCATTCATTATGTAGCCAATAGCTCCCAAAAAAGACATTAATAGGTGGAAACCACCTAATCTAACGACAACATTTTTAAGCTCCGAATCGTCACCGGAATGAGCAATTATATCCTGCGCTTTCATAAACAAAGGCTGGTCAAACGTGACGATGCAGGTATCCTGTTTCAATACTTTACACTTATCAACCGCGACGCGAAGCGCCGTATAGATCGTATCATAATCACTAGCTGGTGCGTTTATAAACGGTAAACATGAAACAAATGATCGCTGGAAAGTTTCACCTTGAGTCATCATTTCCATAAATGCACTCCGCCCGGAATATTATTGATATGTATGAAATTTCCATACAACCACATTAGATCTGATATTTGCGGATTAATTTTGGAGGAAATCGGCTTTATATCATTAAGGTCTTTAATTTTTACGTTTTTAAACCCATCATCACTTTTTTTCTCGAACTGCATCAATGGAATGGTCCCAAACTTCCCGATTTCGGCTGCAGACGGTCTACTTTTCAGCCGTTCAATACACTGATCGGGGATAATTGCAGAGGTAGGAGTAACACAATGAATCCCGCCCATTGCATGCAAGGTCCTGTATCCGTCCAAAGTTTGCGAGTTAAAATCCGCATTATCGAATGAAAACTGAGAAAAAGAATCCTCGTTAACCCTGATCGGGGGCCGCATAATTGCAGAAAGTTCAAAAATTCGGACTTCCTTGTAACTTGCGCAATAACCAAGAGAATGAAGAGTTTCGATAAGAATTCGAGACCCAATTTTTTTGTAGATGAAAGCTGAAGTGCCAATCTGAAGAGGAGAGAGGTATGACTTTGGGCGTGCAGCAGTCATAATACAATGAGCCAGGGATGTAACTTTGGTGTCCCATTTTTTCGTATCTCCTCGCTTGTACTTTTTTATCACAGTCTCAATGAAAAGGCGGAGACTTTCTGGTATATCAGATTGAACACTGTGAAAAAAGTTATCAGAGGGTGGATAGTGATCTCTCTCGAAAATTTTAGATCGAATATCCTCTAAAACTATTTCCGCGGCTGCTTTGACAATGCGCAGTCGTTCTGCCTGTGGATCTTCCTCGCGCTCTTCATTGTAAAAGTTTCGGGACAAAATTTCTTCACCTTTTTGGCGGAGAGTAATTACGGCCGACCTGTTAGGGTGTTTTGAAATAAATATTCCTTCACCATACTTACTGTGAAGATGAGATTTTACAGTTTTCATACATGGTTTAAAATCCCCTTTAATTTGATCCATTAGTTCCCCTAAGGAAAATTGACACTCACACTCATGTTGGTCCAAATAAGAAAAGATTTCTTCCATTGCTGCTGTCACTTTATTAACGCACTGTTCCGGGGTGGATTTGTCATCTTCACTTGCACTTTTTTTTCTCTCTTTTAGAGAGTGAATCTTTATTTTAAATAAACACGCCCGATGATATTTTGCTTTTTTCGCCGCTAAATTCTCGATCGAATCTAATCTTTCTCGAATGCAAATACTTTCTGAATCAGTTCTCCCTTTGATTATATCCAAAATGCGATTACCAAATTTCGGATGGGTGACATTACTAACGGCGATTTGAACGCGTATACTTTTTCGATGGAGATTTTTTTTACCTCCTTTTGCTTTAATTTCAATTGCATCGCCACAAAGAAAACATCGCTTTGTGAATGGAAAATACACTTTCTTGGGCAAAATCACGGATTGAGACGGTGAATTTTGGTGATTCCACGCTTCAATGTGGCTCTCACTCGTGTAATTTTTACTGCATACCTTATGCACAGTTATTTTATTTCTTTTACGCCCTATCAACTCTACTTTCCCGTCTTGCCGTTTTTCACTAGCTTTGCGAAAAGCACTCACTCCTTTTCTTTTAACGTCTATTGTTTGTTGATTTGCCAACGGTTGGCCACATATAAAACACGAAATTTCAACGTCCATCGCAAAAGTTTAGAAGTACGTGCATAAATAAGTAACACGCTGGTGGAGTCGCGACACGCGTGTTTGGCAGTCATCTGCCCACTGAAGATGCATATTTTGCTGCAGAATTAGTGAAGTCCAGACAGAGTGCAATAAAAATGCCAAGGAGATAAGAAAATGCTAGGCAGTGCATAATCCTGGAGCCCAGTTGAAACCCGAAGACCGCATCCTAGCCAGGATTGTAGCCCCAGAATACGGGAAAGATAACACCTCGAAAAAAATAAACCATTGAGATAGTGAGTCACTCACGCGGAATCTCGCGAGACATCACAAATACGTTGAGGACGGGGATATTTATCCCGTTTTAGTAAATATTAGTTTATTACTTTTTTGACTTTTGGATCCGTTTGTTCTCTCTTAAGGGTAATACAATCATCTGAGATGAAAAAAATAGCAATTAATCCAATCTTACTGTATTAAGACATTTTTTCAGGGAGGGATAGCGAAAACGGAAGGGATGATGGAACACATTTCAGGTGTAATATAGCATTAAAATGATTTATTAAATGTTAGAAATGAAAAACTGTTGAAACGAAAACCGTTTAAAGCGTGTAACGCCTCAGAACTTGGCGGGCCGCGGCGAGCCGGACCGCGCTGAGGGGTGCGCCGCGAAAACGTGAATAGGCGCGATGTTCACGATGCTGTATCTTCCTCAATTTTTAAGCAAACCTAACATATGTATACACCATTTTCTTCCAAATTATGTCAGCTATTCAAAACATTAGCTAAATCCGGGACTTTTCCTCATCCGTAGCCGCTATATCAAAAAAACCGCAAAAAAAGGCCTTTTTAGGCCATTTTTTCAAAATAGCGGAAAATGCTCACCAGATACGCCTGCGGAAACTTCAGATTCGGATTCAGCGACCCAAAAGCATAAAGTAAGCCAAAAAAATCGCTGTGTACCCAAAATTCCAGGTAGCCTCATTTTTAGCTACCAGGCGCCTGGACTATTTGGCATCTATTTTTTAACGGATACCTGGGTGAATTCAAATAAGGGTCAAATTCCAGGTTCTATTTCCTCCCAAAATTTTTTTCTGAATTTTTGGGCAAACCAAACTTTATTTTGACTATCATTAGGTGTAGACTTAGGAAATATAGCTCGTCGAGCTAAATAGTTGGGCTTAAACCCGAATTTCCACCGTCAAGTGTATCACTTCCCAAAATTTGCCGTAATTTTGCCTGATTTCCTAAATTTTCATCTCAGAGGTGACATATAATACTTTTAATTAAAAATTGAACACAATTGCCATAAAAGCATCGTCGATCACTAAATTAAAGCATAATTGAAAACATGTAACCCTTTCATATCTTGCAGAACCAAAAAAATTAAGAAAAAATTCGTCTGTCATGAAAGATATCTGGAGCTCATTCTGCTTGTCTTTTAGACAGTTCCGTCTGTTAATCAAAATGCGCACTGATTTCGTTTCACACGAGAAGAAGCTTTTATTTCTTGGAATATTGCAATACAAAATGGATCAAAAACACCGAATTTTAAAACTTCGAGTGGGCGTGTACCCGCTGAAGTGGTGATAAAGCCAGGAAATTTTGAGGACTTACATTAACATAACAATTACACCGGTCAACTTTTTTTTTTTTTTTTTTGATTTTCCGAAGATTTGCCAATGGTTTCGGAGTAGATTTTTGGCGCTGATTCTGAAGAACACCTCCATTTACCTGTATCAATGCGATTTATCCTGGGAAAGTTCGGAATTTTTCCGGAGAAATCGGAATTTTCCTTAAAAGTCTAGCTTTTCCAGAAGAGTCAATTTTCCGGGAGAATCTGTGCACGATGAAAAAAACACAGGAATTTTTCGATTTCGTAGCCTAAGATACATAAGAAACCCTATTGCACCCCTATTAAAATTTCCTTTCTTTTCCTTATACCAAGGTTTTCCGGTCCAGTTTCATAAAAATCAATTAATTAGTCACCGAGATAGTGTTTTAAGCCACGGCCACCATATCTTAGATTTTCGAATCTCGGAAATTTGACTAAAATTCGAGTTCCCCATTCAAAAATACCCGCGGGTACCAAGTTTCGCGTAAATCGATTGATTAGGCTCTGAGGTAGCATTTTAGGCCATGTCCGCCATCTTGGATTTTCGAATTTTAAAAATTTGACTAAAAATTCAAGTTCTCCATTGAAAAGTACCCCCGGGTACCAAGTTTCACTTTAATCGACTGATTAGGTGCTGAGATAGCATTTTAGGCCACGTCCGCCATCTTGGATTTTCGAATTTTGAAAATTCGACTAAAAATTCGAGTTTCCCATTCAAAAATACCCCTGGGTACCAAGTTTTGCGTAAATCGACTGATTAGGTGCTGAGATAGCATTTTAGGCCACGTCCGCCATCTTGGATTTTCGAATTTTGAAAATTCGACTAAAAATTCGAGTTTCCCATTCAAAAATACCCCCGGATACCAAGTTTTGCGTAAATCGATTGATTAGGCGCTGATATAGCATTTTAGGTCATGTCCGCCATCTTGGATTTTCGAATTTTGAAAATTCGACTGAAAATTCGAGTTCCCCATTGAAAAATACCTCCGTGTACCAAGTTTCACTTAAATCGGTCGAAAAGAGCGCCTACAGGGCTTAAACAAACAAGTCCCAGTTGATTAGGCGCTGCGATAGCATTTTAGGTCATGTCCGCCATCTTGGATTTTCGAATTTTCAAAATTCGACTAAAAATTCGAGTTCCCCATTGAAAAATACCCCCGGATACTAAGTTTCACTTAAATCGGTAGAAAAGAGCGCCTACAGGGCTTAAACAAGCAAGTCTCAGTTGTAACAGTTTTCCACTCTGTCCCACTACAGTGGGACATGGGACAGGATGGAAACATATGGGACAGGATGGAACGGGACAAGATGGAACGGGACAGGATGGAATAAGCTGTTTTTTAAGCTTATCTCTAACAGTAAAGACAATTTTGGTGTTTTTTTTCACGGAATATTTAGTAGCACGTCCTAGAGGATCGGAATAAGAGAAAATTTTCCCTAACGCACACTTCGAAAGTATTTTACGAGCTGATATTAGTGTGTGTGTGTATGCTTGACGCCCTGTTAGTTATCATGTATAGCATTCTGTTTGGCATCATTAATGGCGTTAATCTTGCACAAAAATTTGCGAATTTCAGAATTTTTGCCATCTACGACGTGTGAACTATTCAATCAAAACAAAAAAAGTCGTTTTTGGAAAAACCTCAACGTTACGGCAGTCATTTAGAGCTTATTACATCGTTGCCATGTCTCTCCTGACTGTTGCTGACTGTTGCTCGGGACAATGATTCTAGCGCGTGAAAAAGTTATTGATGGAGCAAAAAATAAATTGACTTATTTTTTTTCTCAAATTCAAAAGCATTACCTATCATCTCCGATAAAGTTTTCTCAAATAATCACTCTAGTTATGCTGCAACATCGATTTAAAGTCAAGAACCAGGCACGGGGGACACGCAAATTTGGGACAAATGTAGGCAATTTGCACATTCAAAGTTCTCCTAAATTTTTATTTCAGTCCAAATAAAGTGGGAAGTAGCATGTAATAGTCAACAATAGTGTGGAAAATGAGAAAAAAATTTGATCTGCCCATGATTCTCAGATTATGACGATTAAAACAGCTCGGGACACCAAATTAGACGCTTATTTGAACTCACCCACCTATGCACGGTGTCCAAAAGTAAAAGAGGTTGCATCAACTTGCAACAAAATCGTTTGATTCTGGCAACTCCGAAGGAGCTATCATTGTCGGAACTAGTTGCAATTCAGTTGAAGCATGTTTCAACTTCAAAGTATCGCTGATTGCCTATCTTTAGATTTTAAACCACTTTGGTGCAGTAATCTTGCAATCTCTGCAGTTTGCAACTTTGTCTTCCGAGCAGATCACCGAAAATCGCACTTATCGACCAAAAGTTGACCGAAAAATGCAACTTTGTTGGGAACGAGAAAAACGATTCCGGCACTAATTCCCAAGACAATTAGTCCTTTTCTCGATGGCGGCCGTCTAAATAAAGACGGAGGGCTGGAAGTGAATATTTTAGTAAGGTGCTTATGAATCCTATATATTAAAATGCAAAGTTCCAAATCTTGGGGCATTAACTTTGAGAGAACCACCGGACCGATTTGCGTGATCTTTTTTTTAAATGAAAGCCCCTGAGCTGCAGATTTGCAGGCTGTGATCGTTTTTTCGATTATCTCAAATTTTCTCCCATAATTTTCTCAAATTTTCTTCGATGCATTAAAACGGAGGTCCGAATCTTTGGACGTTAACTTTGAGAGAACCACCGGACCGATTTGCATGATTTTTGTTTTAAATGAAAGCCTATGATCTGTAGATTTGCAGGCTGTGATCGTTTTTTCGATTTTCTCAAATTGTCTTACTTTTATCGACGAGTGAAGTTTAGCCGGGCTCAAATTTTCTCCCATTTATTCAGACTAAAGTCCGCATGTTGGGACATTAACTTTGAGAGAACCACCGGACCGATTTGCATGGGGTTTTTTCTAAATGAAAGCTTCTGATCTGTAGATTTGCAGGCTGTAATTGTTTTTTCGATTTTCTCAAATTTTCTTACTTTTATCGACGAGTAAAGTTCAGCTGTTTCGAGCGGTCATCTGGCCGCTACCTGCTTGCCCGTCCCTAGATACCCCCTCTAGGGTCTCAGCCACCCCTCCCACCACGTTCTTTCGGCTATCTCCGTTTTCTTTCGTATAGCTTTCCTCCCACCAACCTCAAAGAAGGTTTGGGTCGCATTGTCGTTCGTCACTCACCACCCACATTCCGTCGCAATCTCTCGGCTACTCCGCTTCACCACTTCTTGATAGGCATCCTGGCGGTTTGACTGACCCTGACTTATTAACTGCAGCGTTGCGCACACGTATTGCTAACAACATGTATTGTTATGGACATTGCATTCTTATTTGTTCTTTTCTCTTGACAACTTTGTTTCAAATTTGCTTGATACTTCGTTTCTTCCTCTCTCTTTATTTTGTTGGTCGGTCGACTACGTTGATCGGCTTTTTGCTATTGAAAACACATTAAGACTTCATGGAATTTCAATATCATCATTATTGATCTTCCGGAATTGCTTCCAATCAACCTGAATCTTCAAGGGTCGAAGCCTGACTCTCCTCCCCCTAAAACTATGATTCCATGATTTCTGCCGTTAACCCAGAGCAACATCAAATTATTTCTGAAATAATTAATCTCATCCAAAATCCATCTTACACGTGTAATGCGATTTTCATTGATGGTCCAGGAGGATCGGGAAAAACTTTCGTTTAAGAATGTCTTACTGCGTATTGTACAGAGGAAAACTTAGACGTCATCTCCGTTGCTTGGACAGGTATCGCCGCATCGTTGCTACCTAACGGTCGGCCGGTTCATAGCAAATTCAAAATTCCTTCGGTTCTGAATGAGAATTCTGTGTCGAGTCTGACGGTTAGCTCAAGAGAGGCTGAGACTATTCGAAAAACAACGATCATTTTTTGGGGTGAAGCTCCCATGGTTATCACGCATGCTCTGGCATGCATCGACCGACTTCTTAGAGAATGGGTAATGATATCCCTTTTCGAGGAAAAATTGTCGTCTAGGGTGGTGATTTTAGACAGGTTTTACCCGTTGTTCCGCATGCTTCTCGCCAAACATTGGTGCAAAATGCAATCAAATTCTCACCACTT